CTCGGTGTTCTTCTGTTTTTGTGCGGCCAAACACCTGTTTTCCAGACCTTTGCTCCTTTCCACCTACCTGTGCATTGCCTGCCTTCCCTTTGAAGTCCCTGACTCTCCTTACCCCGCAGCATCTTCCATTGTCTTTAGCTGAGGATGATATTTAAAGTGAGGGCTTCAGTCATTTTGGCGAGTTACTCAGTTTTCCTGGGATTCCTCCACATATACATGTTAATAAACTTTTGTTTGTTCTTCTGTTAATCTGTCTCACGTCAATTTAATTCTAGCCAGAAGAACCTAGAAGGGTAGAAGAAAATTTCTTCCTCCCCTACAGTACTTACACAACCCTAGACGGTATAGCCCACCACACACCTAGGTCTTTTGGGACCATTGTCATATATGTGGTCTGTCATTGACTGAAATGTCATTATGTGGCACGTGACTGTACACCAACCATTCCTCCATCATTCCCGCGTCTGGGAAGGAGAGGAATACAGTGGTGGATGTGCACATACCGGGTCTGGGGAAGACCTTCGGCTATTTTTTTTTTTAAAGATTGGCACCTGAGCTAACGACTGCTGCCAATCTTCTTTTTTAATTTTTCTGCTTTTTCTCCCTAGTTGTGGCATGTGGCAACTGATGAATGGTGCCATGTCCGTGCCCAGGATCCGAACCCGTGCAACCTTGGGCCGCCAAAGCCAGGGGCGTGAACTTAACCACTCGGCCAAGGGGCCAGCCTCCCTCTGCTTTTTCGTTTGGGTATTTTTATTTTTTCAGTTTGTGAGAGCCTTGAGCAGGTCTGTGGGCTCACAGAGGAGTCAGTGGACATGGGCAGAGTGTTCTTGCTATTTTCTTTTATGTGTGAAACCTGTGCTCCTGGGGATCAAACCTCTGGGCAGCTGGAGCCCTGTGTTCAGGGCTCCCTTTTGCTCCTTGCAGCTGAGTGTAGCCCAGGCTGAAGGCCCTGCGTCAGAACCACCCATGGACTCGGAGGGGAAAGGGAGCCCTGAGCTCAGCAGGTACTGCCTGGCTCTTCCCCACAGCATGCCCTTGGCCTGGGCAACCCCACAGCCCCGCTCTGTGCCTCCGGGCCAAGGCTCTGAGAACACTGGACTCAGAGGCCCTCTCATGGAGAAGGGCCAGTAACAGAGACAGAAGGACGAGGCTCAGGTGAAGTCGGGGTGCTGGGCCAACCCAGAAGGGGCCCAGTTCGAGCACCCTAGACAGGAGGCCTCCCCCAGGGTATTACACCTCTGTGTTTTCTTCTGCCCCCTGGTCCCCTTAAATCCCATCCAGGCTGGCTCCTGCTGCATGGGGTCAGATGCAAGGATGCAGAGTCCTGACCAGGAGGAAGGCAGTGGGGCACACCCGTCCGGCCAGCCGCCCACCCTCTGCTGTCACGTGCTTGCCTGCCAGGCGCAGGCCGACAATGCAGCTTTGTGCAGCAGCTGGCTCAGGCGGAGCACAGCCGCGTGTCTGGGACAGCCCTGGCCAGCCGGTGGTGCCAGCCTGGGAGGCCAGAGATGCCAGGCTGAGGAGGGAGGATGCACCCTGCCCAACCCTCCAGGGCCCTGGGCCATGTGCTCTCCAGGAAATACCTAGGGGCTGCGTCTGGGGAGCGGGCAACCTTCAGCAGAGGCCTGGCCATCAGTCTCCCAACTAGCAGGACCTAGAGAGAGCCCTGGCACCACCAGGCCACTCAGCTGGGCCAACTCAGCCTCCCTCCAGGGTTCCCCACAGAGCCCCCTGGTCTCAGGTAGAATGAGAAAACAAGGGCAGCCTGGTCAATTTTTATAAAGCTGAATGTATATACAGTTTTTAAATACAAGATTTTTTTAGACGTTAAAACATCGTTTTATAATGAAATGATTATGGTAAATAGAGATTGTTTTTGTGACAACACCCTTAATTGGCAAAATTAAAACTTGGCAACTTATTTTCATCCCCTTTTAAAACAAAGTTAGTTCATGAAGCCCCCCAAACGCTGGCACCCCCGCTTTGGCTGGGTCCTCAGTGGGCTGAGCAGTGGGGCAGCGGGAGGCCTGTCCAGAGGCCCCTGGGTGTGAGAGGCTCCAGAGTTTCCAGAAGCGGGCACTGGGGGAGGGGAAGGGGGCTCTCCTCGGCCGGGAGCCTTCTCCCCTCTGGACCAGGGAGAGCACTGGCTATTGGAGTTCCTTGCTTAGCCTGAATCTCCGAGCCCCAGAAGTGTGTGCCTCCTGCCCCTGCCCTTGTCAGCCTTCAGAACGCACACCCTCTGCACAGCCTGCTCCCCTCCAGCCGTGTGAGGCAGGGTCTGGGAGTGGGGCCAGAGTCAGGGGCCTGGTATCCAGCCAGGCTCTCAGGAACACCCTCTGCGACTGTGGTGGGAAGACCCTTCCTCAGTTCTTCCCTTGGAGGATGAGGGTGGTACTGGTGGACTCTCCAGGCTGCCTGAGCATCCTCTTTAAGTAGAGCATCTGGGAGGAAGGGAGATGTTTCTTTCCTGAGGAACTTAGCCTGGATTTGAGAAAAACCACCATCACTTAGCCAGCAGGCACCAATCGTCCCTTGCCTGGTGGAAGTGGCTGCTCTTCTTGGGCAGAAAGGGACAGCCCATCTGCCACTGCCACCCAGCTGTGGGATCCCTCTGGGGCCCTGCAGCCATGTGGGTCCACAGGGCCTTAACTGACCTCCAATCCTGCCTGGAGATCTTACCAGGCTTGACGCTGGTCCCCACAGGATTGGGCCGTCTGGAGGGAGGCTCCAGAGTTAGGGGTGCTCCCTAAAAAGGCCTGGCAGGGAAAATTGCTTTTCATTCACTGCAATGTTTAGGAACCAAATGAAGGGTCTGTTTTGGTTCTTCCTTTTGAATGACATAGTAATGGGTCAAACTTCAGCAGCGATACCCTCAGATACGTTTATTTCCCGTTTGTGTTGGATTTGCATTAAGCTTTTAAGAAAATGCAAAAAGGCCTTTCTACCTGGGCCTGGTCTCCCAGGGTTTTTAACCTATTTTGGTTCTGTGGATAATTAGGTGGGATTGTTTGCTGAGACAGACATTCTCAGACCAGGGGAGGAAGGCCCCCAACACGGAGAGGCCCTGGATATTCAGTGCCTCGCTGCTCCAAAAGACAATCACAGTGGTGATTTTCACCAATCAGGGAGATGTAAGTGAAGAGATGCTTCTGGGCCTGGAAAATCCACTCCCAACCCCATACCCGACTCTGGGCCTTTCTGCGTGTGTGGTGGGGGGTGCCCTGTGGGGCAGAGGGAATTGGCACACCCTCTCCAGATGCTGTGAGCCCCGTGCCAGGACCCTCTTGCCCAGCTTGGCCCCCAAGAAGTTCAAAACCTAGTAGCAAGCCCAGTGGGCAAATGAACAGAGTCAGCGGTAAATGACGGCCCAGTGCACAGGCTGGGAGATTGGGTGGGCAGAGAAGGCACCCAGAGCAGGAAAAGGATGCCCAGGGAGTGTTGTCTGGCTGGGACAGGGAACAGCATGTGTGAGGGCCTGGAGGAATGGCACATTCTGCAAAGTACAACATGCTGACTTGCTGGAGGTTCCCTTAGCACTCTCCACCCCAGCCTGGAGGCCAGCTCACCAGGGATGAGCTCCTGAAGAGCATGATTCCTGGCTCTTCCCTAGACAGGGGAAGTCATGACCCCTGGTGTGGGGAAGCAAGTGAGGGCAGTAGGTGGGAGGTGGCCAGGGGAGGCATATGTCACTTCTCTGAGCCAGTGTTGTCATCTGTGCAGTGGAGACCACAGGGCAGAAAGACAAAGGCATGCCTGAAGCACTTAAAGTGCAGATGTCCCTGCGGAAACAGTTCCTGGGTTCTCCCCTGGGAGAGTGAGGCAGCCAGGCCACTGGGGGTGGGGAGGGCCCAGGGAGCAGAGCGGGGCAGTGTGCTGGGCACTGAGTGGGCAGGGGTAAGCTGGAGGAGGCTCTGAACCAGCCTCCTGGTGGCTGGGCCATGTGCCTGGTGGCCTCGGCCTCTTCAGCTGCTCTGGTTGGGGGCACCTCCCTGCTTGGTCCCCAGCCCAGGGTCAGGCCAGGGACTGTACTGCTGTGGGTCCCAGGGCCCTGCCTGTCAGACATGAGTGGGGAAACTCCGGCACTCCGCTCCCTTCACAGGGCCCTGTGTCAGGGCAAAGTCAGAAGGCACTGGGCGTCTCCTGCCCTCAGGACCTGGCGGGGGAGATGGGGACTGGGGAGAGCAGGAAAGAGACCGTGGAGAAATGGAGGAAATTCTCCTAGACTGCTGGACGTGCTGAGCTGTGAGCATCTAGCTGAGCAAGGCTCTGTGCCCCGACCCTGGAATGTCAGCCAGGGGCACCGAGGCCTGAGAGGTCCAACACTTGTCCCCAAAGCCACAAAGTGCCCCAGGAATGTGCTGCGAGGTGGTGTTTAGGATGAAAGAAACATAATCTCTAAACAGGTTCAACCTAAAATAGAGTCTAATATCTAAATGGCAGATGCTTAATTTCTCACAATATTTCTGTCATTAGGCTGGGGCAGACGCTCTTGGTTTGTTCAAGACCATGGGGGATTTTTTTGGAGTTGTTGTGCAGCATAAAGAGACTACCCCCAACGCACGACCACGACTTGCAGCTCAAGACCACGCCACCCACCCTGAAGTCCCTCCGCAGTAGACAGAACTGTTCCTGTAGTGACGGGCGGTCACTCGCTAGCACTGGTGTCTGTGAAAGGCATAGGGACACCAGGTCAGACCATAAGGGAGTCTCAGACTTTTCTCCAAACCCGCCCCCAACAACCGAGAGTGAATAAGACACAAGAGAGCATTCTACAAAGCCGCCTGAACTACACGTGGTTTTACCTAGCACCTCACGTTGATTCCCTGCTGTTCATAATACTACTGTTTGTTATTTTTTTTTAAAGATTTTTTTAAAAATTTTTTTTCCTTTTTCTCCCCAAAGCCCCCCAGTACATAGTTGTATATTCTTCGTTGTGAGTCCTTCTAGTTGTGGCATGTGGGACGCTGCCTCAGCATGGTTTGATGAGCAGTGCCATGTCCACACCCAGGATTCAAACCAACGAAATACTGGGCCACCTGCAGCGGAGTGCGCGAACTTGACCACTCAGCCACAGGGCCAGCCCCTACTACTGTTTGTTCTTAAAAGGTGCTTGAGAGTGGTCACTCTTGCCCGCTGAGTGTGGCTCACCCTCCCTGTCCGCCCCAGACTGTGGTTTGAGAACTAAGCTATTGAGAACTAAGACAACCCCCAAGGTCAACCCCTCCTAATTCCAGCGAGGTGGGGAGGGTGGGGCCCTGAAGAGATGGGGGACAAGTGCAGAGGCCCTGACAAGGCTGATGAGCGGGCTGTGGGGTGTCGGTGAGACAGCAGTGGGGAAGGGGGAACAGGGAGGCTGCTGCCTGGAGCCAGCCTGGCCAGCGCCCCAACCGGGCCCTGGCGGAGGGGGTGGGCACCACCTAAAAAACCTGGAGAGAAGCGCAGTCCGTGGCCCTTCCAGGCTCCTCGCCTCCATGAGGCCCCCTATAGCCTTCCCTACTCTTATTCTCTGTGTTGATCTACAAGGTCAGTCTCAAGAGGGGACATGAGGCCTTGTGCGTCCCAGGCCCATGTGGACAGAGGAGGGGCTGCGTGCTGGGCTGGGGTTGCCACATCCAGAGGTCAGAGATCATTTGCTCCCTTTCGCAGCAGGGTCAGGCCTGGGAGGTGCTGAGCACCACCATCATAGCCCAACCCCCATAGCTATCCATGTTCCACGGGAGTTTGGCTTCATGCCACGGGGCAAGGCCAGTGGTCTGGGTGGTGTTTCCTAGGGAGATGGGAATGGTAGAATTACTTTTCAAAGCTGAAAGGGCTGGGGGTGGTGTTGCCGGGGGGTGGGGCAAGCTTCTTGGAAAGCGGGTGGATAGCACCAGGCAGGGACTCACACCTGGGTTCATACAGATGGCCCCTGTGGGCAGCATGGCTGGGTAGCCACCTCCCAAAAGGAAATGCAATCTGCCTTCTTCCTCTTCTCTAGTCAATATTTATTTATCCAGAAGAAGCTTTGGTGACAGAAGTTCAGAGCTGCGCGTAGCTGTCTCTAATGAGGGCAATAGGGAATAGAAGTGGGACGAAGCCATCCCTCTGGGCCTGCCTTGGGAGGCTAACAGCCTTTGTGTCTGCAGAGTCCCATGCCTGTTCTAAAGTATGCTCTCGTCTTTTCTCTCAGTCTCTCCTTCCGGTGCCATGGTGGAGAGGTGTCCCCAGTCAGATCCTCATTTTACAGATGGGGAGACTGAGGCCCAGGACACTGCTGTGCCACACGCACACCCAGGGTTACAGAGGTGCTGCCTGGAGGCAACCCTGCCGGGAGCCTGCAGCCTCTTCCTGTGTTCTGGGCACTGCCCACTTTCTGAAAATTACAACTGCCAGTTGTTGCCATGGTGACTGATTGTATTATTCCATCACTGCAGAGCTGTGTGTGCCACCTCGTCCCAAGACAGTCTGTCTCTGCAGGAGACAATCTCTACCTCCAGGTGTGTATATGTAACAGCTGCAACCCTGGCCCTGCACACCACTCTTCCTGGCACACCCTCCCTCTTCCCTGGGTCCAGTGTATCCTAGGCCCCTGTGATGCTCGGCCCCATTCTTTTCATAGGGCACTGACTTCGCTGTGCAGGGGGCTGGTTTACCCCTCCAGCTCCTGTGCAGTCAGTTCCTCTATATGGGTACACAAGACAACTTCCTTCTTGTTTTGGCTGAAGAGTACTAAATGAGTGGACAACCATAATCCATTTAACCAACCCCTATAGATGGACAGTTGGGCCATTTCCAATCTCCAGCTGCTACAAAGAAATCTGTGAAGAACAACCTTGAACATATGTCATTTTGTACATGCAAGAATATTTGTAGGAAAAATTCCTAGAGTTAGCATTATTGGGAAATGAGTGGATACTTCCAAGTTTGGTAAATATTGCCAAATTGCTGTCCATTATCATCAGACATTGCATGCCTGTTATGTGCCAGGCGCTGAACTCAATATTTTATCTGGATTATCTCATTTCATCTCACCACAACCCTATGATAGAGGCTATTCCTATCCATGTTTTACAGATGAAGAAACCAAGGCTCAGAGAAATTTGGAAATTTGCCAAATCACCATCCAGGCTGGTGTGCCGTGGATTGGAAGGGCACCTGAGTGTGTTGGTCTGGGGCTCAGGCCCTTCCCTTTGGCCATGCAGGCCCAGGAGACCATGGATGGGCCCTCCTCCCACCAGCCAGTCTTGCCCTGGAACTGGCTGTCCCACCCTGGGGCCTCGGCACTCGCAGTCCCTCTGCCTACTAGGCTGTCTACCCCATACGCTGTTCCCAGCCAGCTCAGCCTAAGCCTGCTCAGAGGGGCCTCTCCTAGCTGCCTGGTCTAGTTCTTCCCTGCTGGTTGCACAATTTGAGGTGATGTCCTCCTGCCTCTGCTTCTTTTCTCTGGGCCTGTCACCTCCTGCTGAACAGAGGAGTCCTCGAGAGCCAGGTCCTGAGGCCAGCATGGTGCCCAGAGGTGCTCACTAAGCCTGGCTGGGGAGGATCTTGGGGGTGAGCAGAGCAAGCTCCAAGGCCTAGGGCAGAGGCCTTACTGGATCTGCATCACAAAATAGCTAGTGTGCTGAGGGGAGAGTGAGCTGGGAACCGCCCCCTATATTTGCATAACAAAAGCATTGCCCAAAGCCTTGCAGCAACTGCTCTCCCATGCTTTGTTGAGAGCTCACGGCAACGCTCTGGAAAGCCTAGGGAATTGTTCCCCAGCACAGGTCATTCTGGGCTGGACAGCCAACCCAGCTGACAAAAGCCACATTGTAGGGCCAGCAGCAGCTGCCAGCATCTGCTCCCTGTGCCACCACCCAGGGACCTCAAGGGTCCATGGTGAGAATACTGCCTTTGCTAGGGACATGGCCATGGTAAGACCCAGAGGCCCAGGACCTCACCTAGAACAGGGCCAGGGGAGGGGACCTGACCTTGCCTGATGAAACGGGGTCTCCAGGTCACTTGGTGACTAATGGTGACACTAGACTTGAAGGAGAGAAGAAAACTGCTGTGGTACACGCACCTGCCACATACTGGGCACCATACCCATGCCTCCCAGCATTACGTTATTTGATGCTTCTCTCACAAGGGTGTTTTCCACAGTTTTCCGATGGGGAAGCAGGCTCAGAGAGGTTCTCTAGTCAGCCCAGCGTGGCACAGCAGAGCCAAGGTTTGAAGGACCCAGCCCTTCAGGGTATGTTCCTCTCAGCCATCCCTGAGGCTCCCCGGCCCCTCCTTCCCTTTCCCTTTCTGAACTTCTCAACCTTCTCTCTGCCTTCCTATGGCATCCAGCCACCTGGGCCAGGATGTCAACTCTCCTGGGATCCCCAACTCAGGCTCCTACCTATGTCAGGGACACCCCCAGCACATGACCCTCTGCCCTTGCCAAGCTTCTTGGGGCCCCTGTACCAGCAGGTGTCACCTGCCTCCTAGAGCACTGTCCTCCAGCCAGGCGGAACTTCCTGGCCCCTGAACACACTTCTCTGGTCCTGGGTTACTTCTGCCATCACACCTGAATAACTTCCTGTCTCACAGACTTCCATTACCCGACCCAGCCCCTACACACACCTCACCTTCCCGGAAGTCCCTCCTGGCTCTGGCCAGCTCTGTTCCCTTCTCTCTGCAGAGGGTCCCGTGTCCTGGCTGTGAGCTTCTTCTGCATTTTGGCACCCTTAGTACTTAGCCCAGAAGCCATACCTCAATGCCTATACCCAGCCAACATTCATGGAACTAAATTAACTTTATGATAATATTCCAAATAAGAATGTTGTGGCTACTCTGGCTTTCGGGAGAAACGTTGAACTCTGTGTGTGTCGCCAGCTAACCTGAAGGAGCAAGGGTCCTGCTGGCCACAGTTGCAAATGCACCCACATACCCCGGGGAGTGGCTCTTGAGGCCTTGAGAACAGTGAGCAGTGTAGGGAAACCACAGGGCAGGGGATCCCCTCAGGATGGTGAGAGCAGATGAAAGGCAGGTTACCACTGGGTGTCCCCATGGGGCGGGTGGGCAGTGCCTCGAACCAGGAAACAGCTGTGTGGAAAGGGCTTCCCTCAAAGCTGTGGTCTGCATTAGGGTGACCCTGTGCAGCACCATTCATCTTAGTGGAAGAAGACAGAGGCACACTGCATAGCTGGAGGAAGAAAGACTGGAGGACGCATTCCCTTTAGATCCAGGGGACCCCCCCATCCCACCTGGGAGGAGGCTCCGTGGGGTCACAGCCACTTCGACCATGCTCACCATGACCCTGAAAATCCCATGCCCATGCTAGCCCTCCAACAAACCAGCCAGCAACCCTCATCAGAAAACCCTGGAATATCTCAGAGGCAGGTCAGAGGTATGGAATTAGGAACACTTCATCTCCTGTTCCGCCCCCCTAGGAAAATAATACTTACACATCAGAGCATGCTCATTTGCTAAGTATCCACCTAAAACTTACAGGGCAGGGCAGTGAGAATTTGAATGAGTCCCTTGAACTGTCCCTGGTTAGCAAACACCCTGAATCAGAAAGCAGGATCTGTAAGGAGATGCTGGGGGTGGCCGACACGGGATGTGCCCAGCCCCTGTCCCATGCTGCCTCCCACAAGGGCTGGGAAGTCAGGGACTCGCTTCCTCAGTCTCCTGTCACTGCTGTGGCTGGGCCAGGTGAAGCTGAAGTCTTCTGGGAAAGGTGCTGCTTTCTCACAGCGGGTGGAGGTCATGTGTGTCTACCATCCCCTGAATCCCTGTTTCTAACCCTAACTGTGGACCTGGAGCTGTGGCCAGTGTCTCTAGCGCAGAACATCAACACTTTAAAGATAGTGGAGGGGCAGGGAGAAGGAGATGAGTCCCTGTGGGCACACTTGAGCCACTTCTTCAGTCCTGAGAAGGCCCACCTCCTGACATCTTATTAAGGGAGACCTCTATTTATTTAAATGACTATTAACTGGGTTCTGTTACTTGTAGCCCAAAGCATTTCTAACTGACAAACTGGGCTTGGAATCTGAACAGGGGTCCAACCCCAGCCCTGGGTGTGGCCTTAGTGTGGCCTGCTGTGCCTCAGAGGTGGTTTCCCCCTGTGCAAGGGGATAATGATTCTTGTATCAGGGTGTCTCTGTCAGCTCAGGCTGCTATAACAAAATACCACAGGCTGGATGGCTCAACAACAGACATTTACTGCTCACAGTTCTGGAGGATGGAAGCCCAAGATCAAGGTGTCGGCAGATTCAGCATCTGGTGAGAATTCTCTTCCTGGTTTGAAGATGGCCACCTTCTTGCTGTGTTCTCATATGGTGCAAAGAGAGAGAGAGAGAGCTCTCTTGTGTCTCTTCCACATCTCATAAGGATGTTAATCCCATCATGGGGCCCCTACTCTCATGACCTCTTCTAAACCTAATTTCTTCCCAAAGGCCCCTCCTCCTAATTCCATCACTTGGGGTTTAGGGCTCCAACATACAGATTTGGGGGGACACACACATCAGTCTGTATCATGGGCCATTGTGGGGGCCAGATAAGAGCCTGAGCAGCCTGGGTGCTGCTGTCATCAGTGGGTGGGTAAAAGCAGGTTGTGTGCTGGTGACCCCCGACTCTTCTCGACATGATCCCCTTCCTTCTCGAGGGTAGTTCTAGGGAGAAGAAGGGTGCACTTTTCTGTCTTTATAAGAAGGAATGAGATGGTGACAAGGCGGGGACAGGCTATAGATGGCCTGTGGTTTGAGGCAGCTGAGGGTGAGGCTCGAGGGCTGTGGTCTTGGGACCAAACCTCTTAAAGGCAAGAAAATCCCTGGTGCCTTTGTCAGGGCTCAGCTCAGTCCCTTTAGGTCCAGACAAGGATGGCAGGGGGACAGTGAGATATTCTGGGCCCTGGTGACCCCCTCATTGTCCCCCAACCCATAATATTCATAAATTAATGATAAAGTTCTTAAGCACAATAATGGCTTTGTGGCTTCTCAGGGAGCAAGTCCTTATTTTTGGAAGTATGTAGGGGTGAAATGTCATGGTGTTAGCAAAGTAGTTTCAAATGGTTCAGGAAAAAAACAGATATAGATATCTGAGAGAGAAATAAAATTAAATAAAATATAATACACAAAATACAATGCGGCAAACACTCACCAACTGGTGAATTTGCGTAAAGGTGTTCTTTGTACTCCTCTTTCAGTTTTTCAATATGGTTGAAAACTTTCAAAATAAAATGTTGGGGAGAAAAGTAGGAGCTGTTTGGCCCTCTGCTGCGCCCCATGAGTTTGAGGACGTCCTGGCATTCTGAGCACTGCCCTGCCCACAGTACCCTTTTGCCCCTTCTGCTACCACTGGTGGGCATCTCCCTCAGACCGAGCACTGCGAAGCCTTTTGTCGCACCGAGGTGTTCAACAGTGCGTTGGCCCAGCATGAGAGGGAGGAGGATGCTTTTGATTTTAGGATGAGGACTCCAGGTTGTAGAAGTGGTCCAGCTGGGACTCCAACTCAGACACACCTCCCCCTCCTCTGCACGGCCCTTCTAGGAAGCTCCCTGGCTCCAGCGCCATGCAGCAGAGCGGATCTGAGAGCTTCACCAGGGCAGTCTCTCCACTGTCCCGGGCCCACACGGAGGTCAGCTGTGAGAACCACTTACCACAGGGCTGTCCATTCGTCGACCAGATTTCCTCCTAGGGGTCTGTCCCTGGAGACTCAGAGGGTCAGCAGAGGGTGCAGAAACTGAGCCACATGGGAACCACTGTGCGAGGAAGCCTCGAGGTGGGGAGAGCCCAAGTGCAAAGCAAGTAGAGAGGAGTAGCGGCAGCATCTGCAGAAGAAAGGAGAGGTGGCTGCTGTGCTGTTTCCGCCAGGGCACCCAGCAGACAGCCAGCCAGTTCTCCCGTCCAAACATCAGACTGTCCTCCTTCTCCAGGCCTTCTCCCTCCAGGCCCTCCCACAGGGAGCCCTCAAGGCCCTAAGGGCTCTGCGTGTTGCATTTTTTGCAGAGGGACATGCCGGCTCCAGGCATCCCACTGGAGAGAGGCTGTGTGCTCCAGAAAACCCAGCACAGCCTGCTTCAGGAAGAGAGGAGCTCCTTCTTTTCTCTCATGAAAGCACACCAAAGGTCGCAGCAGGCTAAGGATAGCAGCTCCTCAGCCCTCAGGGCAGCTCCTGGAGCTCCAGCAAGGCTCTGGGTCCCGGGCTGTGGGGGCAGGGAGAGCGGACGGCATCAAGGGTTCCCCTCTCCCTGTATGGGGGTTCCTGGAAATCATGTCTCCATGGGCCGTCTTAGATCCTGTTGGTCCAAATGGAGTCACGAGGCACGCCCAGCTCCAAGGGAGAAAGGGGAAGTCAGGGATTTCAGGGTTGTTTTCCTTGTCTCTGCTGCAGAGATCCTTCTGAGACATATGTGGGGTACACAAGGCTCTGAGGGGGTCACTCTCAGTGCTTACATCTTGCTAACCTCCACTTGCTTCTGCTTTCCTTTTCCTTGGGGGAAAACATTTCTGTTTTCCTGGAATATCAACAGTCCTGGTTGTGTAGCTCTCTGCTTTACATATGAAAGAAGTTTCATACCAAATACCAAATCCCAAGTCAAATACTCCAGTTCAAAGAGGCTCGAGTAGACAGAACCAACCCACACTACATTTTGAAAATATTTTAAGTCAACTAGTTTAACTATAAAATCAGGTTTAATGGCTATTGACTCTCTCAATATACTGTCCTACATAAGGAGCCCAAACCCTAGGAAAACAGCTGACCATGTGGAGGATGTGAATGATGGTTAGATGTCCCCCAAAGGTGACAACAGACCCGTGTGCCCATACTGAAGAACTCACCTGCCCAGGAGAGGTGTGACCCAGCACATCATTTCCGGCCCCACTCTGTGACTTTATGATGCCCACATAATACCATCTGGTACTCCCTTCAGCACTAACAAAAAACAAAACACTGCTTCATTTGTAGCCTATCAGCTAACCCTCGCCATCCTTCAGTTCTTCACTAAGTCTTACACACAAACAGCCAAGAATTAGAGTCTTATCCTACATCGTTCATGGCAAATCCTCCCAATCCCATCAATGGGAATACTTATTAAACAGGCTTCCCATGAGAGCCCAGAATGGACCAACTTGCTCTTATTTAATTGACTTGATAAATCCCCACATTATTTAGCTAGCTTCCCGTAGGCTAGGGGTGGAGACAGCGCTGTGAGGTGAAGGACCTCGGAGCTGAGACTCCAGGCTCTGCATCTTGCTATGCGTAGCCTCAGTCTCTCAGCCTGACTGAGGCTCAGCTTTCTCACATGTAAAAAGGAAAGGAATGGCACCTTCCATGTAGCATTCCCATGTGTGTCAATGTGTCAGGGGAGCTCTGAAGTGTTCCTGAAGGTTGGGGCTTATTGTTATTGACCGGGGCTTGGCAGGAATCTGAGTCAAGTCAAAAGGATGAAATGCAGCATTTGACCCTGAGCACCCACCCAGGGAGAGGATTACAAGCTATGAATGGCAGACGACCAAGGAGTGAGAGTGGGGGGATGAACAGAAGAATGGACAATTATCATCGAGACCATAGACCCTCCTGGATCATTGTGAAGGAGGGCGGGATCCCATGTCAGTTGTCGTATTTATGAGTGGTAGCCATCTGCTCCAGCAAGTCTGGAAGGGACCATCCATCATTTTAACGTGCTTTCCTCCTACATTTGTACAGACACTGTAAATGTCTCTCCAGTCTTTTGATGGCTTAGCCTCAGAAGCATTTCTGGTTTTAATCTTTCCTCATGTAGAAGTGCACCAGATGTGAAGTTGGCTTTCATCATTTACAACCTGGTGAATTATTTTGCACTCCAGGACCACTGGGAAACAGGACATGAAAAGAGTGTTCTACCCCATCCCCATGTCACACAACAGAGAATGGCTTGTTTTCCTCCTTTTCACGTGTCAAGACATCAATGACTGTGATAAGGGCTTCGATCAGAAGTTCCTCATCCAACCACCCACTTCTGAAATGGTCAGACTTGAGGGTTGCAAAAGCTCTGGGGTCAAAGTCCTCTGTGGAGTGAAAGATTCTTCAGGATATTGTGAGAGTAAGTGAAGAGACAGGTAGAAACAGGTGAGCGAGTGTGTGGGAGGCTCTCTCGCACAGTGACCCGTGGGCTGGGTGAAGAGGACACTGCTTGCCCTCTGTAAGTGGGAGGCACTGAGCATCAGGACATCACAGGATGGTCTTGGATAAACCCCAGCCACCCTCAGCCCAGCTCCAGGCCATGGCTTGTGAGCAGATGCAGGACTAACAGGCAGCAGTTGCCCTGGGAAGGAGGGAGGAAGATGCCTAGAGCTGGTAACCCACAGCCTGGCTGCCAGAAGCCAACCCCAGAGAAGAACACTATAGAACAAGGCATAGCTCTCACTCTGCCTGGCACCAAGCCCTCTCTTCGTATACCTTCTTCCGTTGTTCTTCTCTAGTTATTTCTGTCTCCTTTCACCTTTATATTAGGGTAGGCTAAGCTCCAGTAACAGGTAGGCTCTGAATTATTATGGCTCAAACACAGTGACCATCTGGGAGAGTGTTCTTGGCCAGATTTCTGGGTCCCAGGCTCTTCTATTTGGTGGCTCCATCATCCCCTAGGGCTTTGTTGTCATAAGCATCAGGCTGGCAGAAAGGGAAAGAGAACATGCAGGAAGGAGACCCACTCTCTTAAAAGCCCCAGTGCAGAAGCAGTCCATAGGCCCTCCACTCAGATTCCACACTGGGAACGTAGTCACCTGGTCACGCCTAACTGCACAGGAGTGTGGGAAGTGTGGTCAGTCACTGCTACGGAAAGAGAGGATGGATTTAGTTGGTGTCTTAGTCCATCTGTGCTGCTATAACAGAATACCATAGACTGGGCAGCTTATAAAAGACAGACGTTTATTTCTCACAGTTCTGGAGGCTGGAAGTCCAAGATCAAGGTGCTGGCAGATTTGGTGTCTGGTGAGGACCCACTTTCTGGTTCATAGACAGCCGTCTTCTTGCTGTGTCCTCATATGGCGCAGGGGGCAAGGGAGCTCTGTGGGGGTCTCCTTTTATAAGGGCACTAATCCCATTCATGAGGCCTCCACCCTCATGATGTAATCACCTCCCAAAGGCCCCATCTCCTAATACCATCACATTCGTTAAGCTTCAGCATACAAATTTTGGGGGACACATTCAGTCTATAGCAGTTGGGTGGCTGATAGTCTCTGACACAATCTTTTAATTTTAATTTTTCTTTACATCAAAGTTATACATGCAGATCACTTAGAGCTACAAGGTTATGAATCACCGGAGTCCTTCACCCCACCCACTCCCCAGACACAATCCCTCTTGCCTCTTTTACCTGATTATTTCCATGACTCAAACAGCATGTGCGTTGGTTTTCTATTGCTGTGTAACAAATCACTACAAGCTTAGCAGCTTAAAACGATACCCGTTAGTGATCTTGAGGTTCTGTAGGTCAGAAGTCTGGGCTTTGTGCAGCTGGGTTTTCTGCTCAGGGTCTCACAGGGCTAAAATCAAGGTATTGCCTGGGTCATGGTCTCTTCTGGAGCCCGGGGCCCTCTTCCAAGCTCATGTGGTTGTGGCAGGATTCTGTTCTTTGTGATTGTAGGGCTGAGGTCCCCAGTTCCAGTTGGCTGTCAGCTGGGGGTTACTCTCAGCTAGCAGAGGCCACCAGGGTTCCTTGCTATGTGGCCTTCTCCATTTTGAAAGCCAGCAACAAAAAATCTCCCCTACCTCAATTCCCACTGATGCCTCCAATCTCTCTGACTGCCCTATCTCTGACCACTAGACTCACTCAGATAATCTCCCCATTTTAAGGTCAACTGATTTGGGACCTTAATCACATCTGCAAAATCTCTTCACAGAAACACCTAGATTAGTGTTTGACTGACTAGGAGAACGTGGGTGGACCAGGCGCTGGAATGTTGGGGTCATCTTAGAATCCTGCTTACCACAGCATGGCCACATTGCTCCCTCTTGGGTCTTCAGTTTGAGGAGCTGTCAGCTGATCTCTGGGTATGTAGATGTGGACTTAGCTCCCCTTCCTCCCACCTCCTCTGCCCACGCACACACCTCAGATGGCCCCATTCCTTCATGAGAGTGACACGGCACAGTTAATTATGCCAATGCTCCACATTTGTTATTACCATTATGAAAACACTCTGTGCAACTGAGCCAAATGGTCAACTACTATGGACCGTCCTTTTGTTTTCTTTGGAGATCTTTCTTGATTGTCTTCTTCTCTGTTCACATAGTTAGCTGTCTTACCATTAATTCAACCCCAAACTCTTTGCCAGTTTTCTTGATATCATCTCAAGTCACACCAGGTTTTGTGGAAACCATTAACACCTCACTGAACAGCTCAGCTCCTTGCTCCCTGGGGATATCATGGGTCTGCATCCGTAGGTTGGTCCATGTGACCAGCTGTGAGAAGAAGTGATGTGTGGCGCTTCTGGGCCAAGCATTTAGTTGCCAGTGCAAGACAGTCCAGAAAGTATTTTTTCCCTCTGCCATGGTGACTGTCAATGTTCCAGAGTGGCTGCCTCATTGATCTGGGTGCTAGTGTGAGGGTGATCATGCCACAGAGCAGTCCCTAGCCAACCCTCAATGTACGAAACTTTTGGTATTTGAAGCCACTGAACTTTTGGAACTATTTGTTACTGTAGCATAACTTAGCTGCTCATGACTGATACAGAGAATGGTAACCAGGAGTAGGGCGTTGCTGCAAGAGAAAGCAAGATAATGTGGTATAGTTTTAAAGCTGACCAATCAGGCAGTGAGAAAACTGATTGTAGGGGCTAGAAGGATGGC